GTAGTCATTTCTATCCATACTAATATACATTGGAGCTTTGTCAGCTTTTCAGATAAGAATGTTGTTGTTATTTTTTAAAGCTGCTACTGCATCGATCAATTGTAAGAATCTTGCTTTTGAAATTACCTCACAAATTTTTGCTTTTTAGCTTTCAAGTCGTTTACAACGTTTGTGCTGAGTGTTTTACCGTTAGAAAAATACAAAAATTAAACAGGAAGCTAACTAACTCGGAGCATGCTATGATTTTCCTCAATAATTGCATTTCTGACAATCTTAATCCAATATATATTCAACTAAATAATACCAATGTTCTTCCAACAAAGAAACACATGATTAACTATAATTCTAATTAAGTTACAATCAAAGTCGCTATAAAAACAAAGACGGAACAATACTATATTATATATATATATATATATTTAAAAGTAAAGATATATATATATATATCTTTATATATATATATATATATATATATATATATATATATATATATTGGTAACAGACTGTTGTTAACGCAACATTTCAAAAATTCAACACTACTTTCAACATTGTTCAACTTTTTTATATTTCTTTTTAATTTATTAATTTCCGAGAAATTAGACATTTTATTGTTTTTTAAAAAATTTTTATTAAATAAATTTGCAAATAGCTATTTCGAGTTATAAATAACTCATCTTCAGTGCATTATATATAAGGTATGTAAGATATTGATATAAAGGAACAAGTAATTATTAATTTATATAAATTATTTAATTAAAACAGAAAACCAATAAAATAAACTTAATAACTATAAACAATATAAAACGCGATTTTTAAAAATTTTAACGGCAAGATTGTTTATATTATGGTTGTTAAGGTAAATATCAACGCTCAGCCGAGAAGCGCGAATTAATTCCGGGTTTGAGATGTGGTTTCTTTTGGAAAACAGTTTCTTCTAAATATCCCATGTAGAAGTTTGCAAACAACACTCCTAGAGGGGAGCCCATGGCTACACCATTAACCTGCTGATACGTTTTTCCATCAGGAGTGTAGAAAGGAGCTTCTTTTGTGCAGATTTGAAGTAACTGTTTTAGCAGACGAGGTTTAATTTTTAGTGGATTCATAGCACTATTATATACATAGTTTAAAATAATATCTATTGTGGCATCAACAGGAATGTTAGTGAAAAGAGATTCCACATCTATTGATGATATGATGCCTGATGATGATATAGTTTTTAGGATGTGAATAAATTCTGATGATGAAGAAATGCAATGTTCATTTGGAATATATGGAGTTAGAATGTTGTTGAGCCATTTTGCTACATTATATGTGACTGTTGGTATTTGACTAATTATTGGACGAAGTGGGTCGCCAGTTTTGTGAATTTTGACAGTACCATACATATAACCTGGTCTGTAGTCTCCAGTTATTAGCGGTATTTTATGGTCTGTTGATGATATTATATTCAATTGGAACATCATCAATAGTGACAACCCTAACAACAGCATCAACAACACCAACAACAACATCAACAACAACAACAACAGCATCAACAATAACAACAACAGTGCCAACACTGTAGATACCAACGCCACAACCCACAGCGCAAATATCACTTGCAAATGGAACATCATCACAAGAAGCAAGAAGAACCACAGCCATGATAATAATAATAATAACGTTAACAATAATAATAATAATAATAATAACGTTTTTAAATATTGTCAAAATAATATTAATAATATGTAGTTAATTAAATAAATTAATTCGCGCTTGGCTGAGCGTTGACATTTACCTTAACCATAATATAAACAATCTTGCCGTTAAAATTTTAAAAATCGCGTTTTATATTGTTTATAGTTATTAAATTTATTTTATTGGTTTTCTGTTTTAATTAAATAATTTATATAAATTCATAATTACTTGTTCCTTTTTATCATATATCTTACATACCTTATATATAATGCACTGAAGATGAGTTATTTATAACTCGAAATAGCTATTTGCAAATTTATTCAATGAAAATTTTTAAAAAACAATAAAATGTCTAATTTCTTGGAAATTAATAAATTAAAAAGAAATATAAAAAATTTGAACAATGTTGAAAGTAGTGTTGAATTTTTGAAATGCTGTGTTAACAACAGACTGTTACCAATATATATATATGCTGGTAAATGACTATAATTAATGCAGTAGTTTATAAAATCTACAGAATTTCTAGCATTGGATAGTTTTTTTTATTACATTTCTCAATATTTCGAAGCAAATTTTGTCGTCATTATTTATTTTATTAACGCCAGAATAATATATAGTTTTTCGATTTATTCTCGAGTGTATAGGACCTATTTCGATTTTTAAATCATCTTCAGCACCTGTTTTAGTTTATCTAGAGAATTTGTATAACCCAGTACTTGTTGTAGTTTATATAGGGAATTTGTATAACCCAGGGCTTTGTTCCTGTGATTTGCATTTATCATTATTATTGACTTCGTTAGTTTTATTATCTTCCTTATTGTTATTATTGACTGTTGATTTGATATGAATATATATATATAAATATATATATATATATATATATATATATATATATATATATATATATGGGTGAAAATAGTTGATCTGTCATCAGATACATCGACCAGTACGAGTACATAAAGTTCACCATCTTCAAACGAAGGCAAAAGTTGCATTTTTGGGAACACCTAACTCGTTTTAGAGACGCGTTTCGTCTCTCACGTGTTAAAACAACAGCTTAGTGCAATTCTTATCTAAATAGGTAATATCGCAACTAAGGTGTTTTTTAGGTAATTCACCAAGAAACATTTTAGTCGCTAGGGCTGTACTGTTTACTACGCCGAATAAAAAATTTGAAAAAATGAGTAAAAAGTATATCAGATATCAGATATATCATTAGATATATCGGCAAGTTTTTGTGTACACCTAACTTGATAGATCAACTATTTTCACACATACTTCTTACCAGGGCATTGAACCGGAACTGAACCGTAACCGAAAACCATTAATAACCGAAATTTTTCTCGGTACAAAACCGTAACCGAACTGAAATTTTGTTAGCTAGTTTAACCGAAAACCGTAACGAAATAAATAACGGTTCGATGCTAAAAATTTGAAAGAAAATATTTTTGTCAAATTTAGAAAAAAATATATTTAGATAATATTTCGTCTTTTAAAATTATATGTTAATTTTTCATCTTTAAAAATTTGTTATCTCTCTTTTCGTTTGTTTTTCCGACTGAGTTTGCCGATAATTTGAGTAAGAATTGCCACGTGGAGAGAAATCCAGTATAATCGGAGAAATTAGAGATCAAGTGCGATCATCTTCAAAATTTGAAGTACAAGCTATACAAGTGAGCCTAAAAGCATCTATTTTTGGATTAAAATTTATCCTCAGAGACTGCAGAAGTGGTTTCAATGAAAACATTTTAGAAGATATATTAATAATCAGAGGAAATTTTTATCTTTTTGAAACAATCTTATATTTATATTAGTGATTTTAAAATATCTTTGTAATGATTGTTTTAATTTGTTGAAAAAAAAATATTAGAAACTTTTTTTTTATACTGACAACATTTAAAAATCATTTTTGTTATTGATTTCTTATTATTCACAATCTAAAAATTAATTCAAATTGGCATTGTGGCGATAGTTGGATGTCCGTTACATGCGCTTAAAAAACTATGCTTGAAAAAATTAAGTTTCGGAGCGAAATCGAAAACCAAAAATAACCGATATTATTTCAGGAACGAAAACTGAACCGAAATTCGTTTTGCTGGTTGAACCGAAACCGTAAACCGAAACGAAAAAAATTACGGTTCGATGCCCTGCTTCCTACACCTTTTTTCAATTTTCTTTTATTCGGTAGAGTAAACAGTAC